ATAGAAATAGCCTTCAATCTATGAACACAGATGGCAACTGGAACCTCCATCACTAAGCGATGCAGTCATTGAGTTGTGTTTGATTTTATAACCCATTTTTTGCTGTTGTTGAGTGAATCGGGGGATCATTAAGCAAAAATGGTTAATCCCATTGGTTTTGCTTGAAAAGCCTCCTGGAAAGTCACAAATGGCTATCCCATGACTCTAGGATGTTGCAATCATCATAAATATATGCCAGTTGCCAACCCCTGAATTTTGATAATGTGACTGTGGGGATGCTATGACGGTCCGAAATATGAGGGCTGGTCTTAAAATGATCTTTTTCATCATGATGGTTAAACAAACGATCATAAGTCGAGGACTACCTGTAACTTCTTTTGATTACTTTTTAAAAATGGCATTCCTTTAAGAGCAATTGCATCATCTATGAAAATTAATTTCCATTTTAAGGAATCAGTAATAAAATAAAATGTTATGGCTTATCATGACCTAGAGCAAATATCATAGGAACACCACCATAGTTTCAATTCTTTTTTTCCTCTTTCCCAATCTGACACACTGGGTACCTATTATCTTTATCGTATATACTCCTACTGCTGAAATTCATTTGCATGAGTCCTTCCTTCCCTGTTTCACATCTGATTATTTTATATTCAATTTATGTTCAGTTTTTAGTAAGTGTATAAATATAATTAATGTTTCACTAATGTTTCCTTATTCAAATTTTCTTCAGTACCTTAGCTGCACATTTGCTCTATTGCATTTTTAAATTTTGGCATTCTATATTTTCTTATTACTAATTTGAATAGTCATATTCTCTAGCTTAGTCCAACTGAAATTTTTCTGCATCTCAGTCCTTCTCACTTTTGAATAGACCAGAGTTAATTGGTTTGTTTTTCAGTAAGGTCCCTTATCAGTAACATATATTTTAGAAATGACTTCTCTGACTACCGTTCAATTTTATTTGTTAGTTATTTCTCAAATGAAATGTAAATTAACACATTCAGTCCTAGGTAAGCCAAGGGCTAATTCCCACTGCCCTTTTTGTCTGTTTTTTGTTGTTACATTATATATTTGGGGAAAACATCAGTCTTCAGTGTTCATTCAGACAACTTATTTTCAAATTACTGACAATGTGTTTGCTAAAAATTGGATACATTATTGTTATATTATCTTTAAATATTTATAGTTTAGCAGTATTAATTAATTAGTTTAATTTAATTAATACTGCGAGAGAGCTGGGCAGTTCCTAAATGAGATAAATTTAAAAAAACCAAATTGTTAATATCTTTGTTTTCCTGCAGTAGATTTAAGAGTCAGATATTTCTTAAGCAAGTTTTCAGAAAACATTTTATAAGCATTAGAATGTAAATAAAACTTTGCCATTTACATCATGCTCAGCTAATATTGAGCTTATCTTCAGCTTCCAATGAAAAATGGTCAGTTTCAAGGAACAACTTAGTTTACTGCCTAGTTATTGAACAGCATTGTCTAAATCTTGCTCATTTTTGTTTTAGGTCCAGAAGTTCAACGGGATAAGCTTGTAACAGGAGAACAAATAGAATTATTTGCTAATAGACTTGGTGAATATTGGAAAGTCCTGGCTCCATACTTGGAAATGAAAGACTGTGATATAAGGCAGATTGAATCAGATAGTGAAGATCTGAAGATGAGAGCTAAGCAGTTGCTTGTTACCTGGCAAGATCAAGAAGGAATCCACGCTACTGTGGAAAATTTGATTACAGCATTGAACAAAGCTGGGCTGAATGACCTTTCTGAAAGCTTAACCAATGACAGTGAAAACAGTAGCTAATTTGAAAATGGCTTTTTATTTAAAACAATGGCTATTGTTCCTGAATGTAATATTTGATAGAGCAGTTTAATTTGATGAACAATAAATCTTTTAATAACATAATTGTCTAAAATTCTGCAAAGAATTAGTACTAAACAAACATTCCTTTGAAATCCTGAAGATGTGGAAAAGTAGAAAAATATATTTGTGTGTGTGCTATAAATTCTTTAATATAACTCAGAGTATTTTAAGGGGTCAATCTCAAATTTCTTTATTGAAAAAACTGCCAAAGGGAATTGCTGTTTGTTTGCTAACAAGCTTTGTATATAGAAAACCAACAAGGACTACGTTACAGTTAGGCTACAATACAATAGCAGAGTTGGAAGGGACCTTGAAGGTCTTCTAGTCCAACCCCCTGCCTAGGCAGGAAACCTTATACCGTTTCAGACAAATGGCTATCCAACATCATCTTATGATTTTCATATGTTGTGTTATAATGGAGTGCCTCCAAATGTTGATAGCAGAACTGCAACTAATGCTTGGTTTTGATCCTTCTGGGTCAGGTTTTGTTTAAAAATNGTTTGTTGCCTACAATTTCATTCATTTTCAGTACAATTGTCAAATTTTGTTTGTGAATAGAGAGCTCTGCAGAAGAGTACAAAATAAGTAGTTTTATTTATCTTTTTCTTTAGAAAATCTTTTAAGATTATTGTACTTCACTGAAAGTTTGTCACCCCACCCCCATTTCTTGTTCTTTCATGAAAAGGTCATTTGGACATTCACTTGGCCAGTATAAAGGGGAAAGTGGGGGAGAAATAGGAAGTCTTGACAATGAAGTTTTGAATGAGTTGTAGCAAATTTATTTGTATTACCTGTAAGTATTTAGGAATATTTTAAAATGTTTTTATTGCAATGAGAGATTATTTCTATCATCCTAACAATTTTGCACGATAAAGATTGTATCTGAGTTTCAGAATGCAATTGAAACTAGCTTGGAAAGGGCTTTGTTTTTTATTTTTTATTCAGCTATTCTTTATTTGTAATGTCTTTAAGAGTCTTAGTGGCTGTAAAATAAAAATCCTAAAGGTACGGTATATAATTTCCAAATGTTTTCAAAACTTCCTTTCATGTGGTCAAGGGACCACCATGCAACAATTTTTTGACCAAACACAAACAATGATACTCAATTCTCTCATTATAGCCTCCTTCTGAAGAAATTAAAACAGGCGAGGATGAAGATGAGGAAGATAACGATGCTTTATTAAAAGAAAACAATGAAAGTAAGGCTGGATTCTTGGGCTTCTCCCTATTTCCTTTGACACCCATAGGTGGAAAAAAGGAGTGTGTGAACAGAACATTCTCACAAAGTTCCTATTTATGCCCTGAATTGCAAGTCAAATTAGAATCCCACATTTATGTATCTTCGAAGCAGAAAAGATACGTGCTGTGCTACAACGTTATAGTTTCTTTAGAGGATGGCCTCTCTGATTGACATTTCATCTAGCAATTACTGTTGGATAGTCCACAGCACATTCTCAAATATTCATAATACTTTCTTCTTTGAAATGCTTTTCAGATTTAATATAGAAATAGCCCTCAACTTATGAACACAGATGGAACTGGAACCTCCATCACTAAGCGATGCAGTCATTGAGTTGTGTTTGATTTTATAACCCATTTTTTGCTGTTGTTGAGTGAATCGGGGGATCATTAAGCAAAAATGGTTAATCCCATTGGTTTTGCTTGAAAAGCCTCCTGGAAAGTCACAAATGGCTATCCCATGACTCTAG